AATTTTGGCTTTTTCTGAGTTTGTGTATGCTGTTTTGTTTTGTGTAAAACTCTGCTATCACGAAACGGTTTTTGTTTTAAATTTCGCGCAATTCTACACAAGGGCTATCCGCGCTAGCCATCAATAATTTAGCAGTGAAAGACTAGAGGGAAGGCAACTAGTCATAAACACCCACCGCCAACTCTTGACGGTACTCTTTTTACCAACGAATACTGGGATTGTTCGATTTACGAATGACAGTGTTAGAATTTAGATTTAACTGGATTAGGGAACTTGTAGGATATCGATAGCTCCTGACGAACCTGTAATAGCGAAATATTGAGCTAATAATATTACATTCTGGAGATATGGGTCGTTATTATATTTATAGTAATTTATATACTGTTAGACGCACGTTACGGCAGACTCGAGAAATAGAACATTACAAGCAGTTTTATAATTTAACGAATATTCTAATATTGAACAGTTGTGTATATTAACCCTGAAGAAGCCGTAACTTTGGTTAAAATAAAATATATTTTATATATACCTGGAATGTAAAGGTAGTTTTTTCTAAATTTTTATCAAAATTAATTTTTTAATATCTACACTGTACCTTAGAAATGTAAATCTTCTTTGACATCACAGAGTTCTAATTAGATCATTTGCTTCTATTAATAGTACGCTTGCAACCCTTACTAATATAATACACAGTTTTAAAATTATGTATATATATGTGAAAATAATATTAGATGATTATCTTATGCAGTCATTTCTTTGCTTGTTTGTTGATAAAAACAAAGTTACAGAGTGGGCTGTTTGTGCTGAGCATACCACAAGTATCGAAACCAGATTTTTAGTGTTATTAAGCCAGACTTGACGCTGAGCCATACTGAAACTTTGTGAAATTATTGTACAATAATTAAGCTAAGCATATTCCAAGACTTGAGGAAAGAATTATATAAAGCACAAATGTAGAATTAATATAATAAAATAAAAAACACGAACCAGAAGAATGACATAATAAGTTTACCTTGAACTTGAAAAAAACTTTAGCTTTCACTCTTGGTATTAAAATAAAGCGGACCAAGCCACATATCATGATCTGTACAAGTGTTTCAAGTTTGATTTTTATAATAGTAAATATAAGGAGACGATTAACTAAGAGTTTCTAAAGTTGCTGAAAAGCTAAAATAGGAAGAAAGTCTAATACAGCTCATAATGCACATATGCTACTCTTATTTCAAAGCTTTTACTGAAACAACACATTAAAGTCTAATATATGAGCAAGTAAGTCACATTGCGTGTTTGTGAATTGATTTGTCCGCGAAATTTTCTCACAGCTTTGTAGAACCAAATTTAGCAGGCGGACTCGGGGTGGCCCGGGGATGGGGTCCTTAACTATATTCCAGAGCTCTCTTATCAAGGTGGTTAAACACGCCCGAAAATTCACCCAAGCATGAAGGGGAGCTAGTAATAGTTTTTCAGGATCGCTGAATCCGCATCTGGTATCGGATTTTATGGATCCCGGGGGCGTATGTTTGAAACTGTGTTCATACTCCCACTCACCAGCTAGTGGGATCAAACGTGGCATACATGCTGTAGTTCCATAAGCGGATGTCCTAACGAGTTTTGTTTTAGGGCACGTTCCCCATCTGGGTAACCATTGAAATAACTGAGGATAATGATCGGTACTCCTGTGAAACATGAGGAGTCTTTAAACCCTGCTGCAGCAAAGCGCGAGTATTTTAACGTTTCAGAATTTTCCGCAAAGCTACACAAGGGTTATCTGCGCTATACGCCTCTACTTTTGAACTGATAGACTAAAGAGAAGGCAGTTAGTAAACAACATTCATGGCAGACTCTTACCAGACCCAATAATCATTCTTATAACGCACCCACGGCCCCAAAGATCAGTATGCGTTTTTGCGGCAACAGGTTTGGTTTGGTTTGAATTTCGCGCAAAGCTATTGGAGGGCTGTTTGCGCTAGCCGTCCCTAATTGAGCAATAAAAGACTAGATGGAAGGCAGTTAGTCATCACTACTCACCGCCAACCCTTGGGCTACTCTTTTTACCAACGAATAGTGGGATTGACCGTCACATTATAACGCCATCACAGTTGAAAGGGCGAGCATGTTTGGTGGGAGGGGATTCGAACCCGCGACCCGCAATTTGAGAGTCGAGAGACCTATCCACCTGGCCATGCCAGGCCTCATAATTTTGTGAGACGTGTGCATTTCGTATTTGTAACATGTCAGTTAATCTGAGGTAACAGAAAGTAAACCATGAATCACAAGAGAACGCCCGACGTTTGTTATTAATGTAATATATTATCGTTTGTTGACATCACTTATAATGGTCTGTCAGTTTTGTGGACGTATCTTAGGTTCCAAGTTCAATGATATTTCAAAAATCACCCTTAACTCCAGATTTCGGTTCCTCGTTATTCCAGATTTATAATTACCTTGCATATATTATTAATGTTAGTGTTTGTTTACAATTCCATGAATAATTTTAGGCAACAACCTATATTATTAGAATAAAAATCGAAATTTAAACAAAATACACATAATAAACTTTCAAAGTATTTTATTTTATTTTTTTCCTGAGGGAAAAAAACCCAACAAAAACAACATGGTAAAAGTCACATCAACTACGACGAAACACATTGTTTTATGATTAATCTATTGTTTCGTCGTCAACATCACGTAACATACTCTAACTTTAAAACAACAAACCCATTTAAAAAATAAAACAACAAAATCATGACTTTGAATGTCTGTTATTATATTTTTTAACATAATAATATCTATCATATTTAAATGTGATGAAAATAAACTTTATACTATAAACAAAATATGGACTTCTTAGAATGTACAACTTGCTGTTCTGACTTTTATAAAGTCATTTAAAAACAACGTTATTTAGGGGGGTTGAAAGATTGTCAAATATCATTGGAATGCAATACAAAATGTGCTACAACCTTTGTTTAAAACTGTATTATTTAACTTATTAAAATGTCACTGTATGAAAAGCCTTGGGCGTTGTGATAACACATATATGTAGGCCACGTGGTATACGTAAACAACAATTATACCATGGTCAAACTATTACAATATACTTCTAGAGATTCTACTGTACAACTGAAATGTTAAAAATCTTTAAGATGTACTGTTATGAACTTACCCACACATATACGTGCATGCACATAACTTTTTTTGTATATAAAAAAAATAGAAATAAAAGAGTCCAGATTTTTCTTTCGTTTTTAACTTTATAATATATTATTTCTCCCTTTGACATTCAATTGCAAGGGTGGCAGTATTGGTTTTGCATCTTTACTAACTACTCTGTAGCCACTTAAGAATACACTCAACAAAATACTGTCATTTTATGACTAATTTGTACTTAAGATGTCATGCTTCTGAGTTTGTTTCAGAATTTTACACAAAGCTACATGAGGGCTATTTGCACATAGCCCTCCTTAATTTCTAACTAACAGACTAGAGAGAAGGAAACTAGTCAATCCCAACTCTTGTCTGGTAAAATAGTGGGATCTGACCATCATTCTTAAAGTGCACCAACAGCCCCAATGTGGAATGTGTTTTTTGTGGCACCAGGTAAAAAAAAAAAACCTTGAAGTTCACAGTCTAAGCATGCTAACTATAAGACCATTCCAGCTCAAGAAATATAGCAATATAAAAAAAAGAACAGGTAATGGAAAATCATTGAGTTTCATTCAGAAATTTTCAGGTTAACTTAACATACATGTATATTTTAACTGATTTCATTCTTAATTTTGATAGAACCAAGATTATAACTTAGGATATTAATAAAAAAAAAGAAACTACTTCCAAAGCAATAAAAATTATCACTTCATGATGCTCCAGAATAACACTTTAAAAATTCTAATTGTGTGAAGCATGATATTACACAAAGAACACTATCATTGATTCATTTGGTAAGAATCCAGAATCAATATCTGCTAGCATCATTAACATTCCATGTAATTTGAACAAAATGAGGGGCATTGAACAAAAGACCTCACTGACAATGTCTTACAACAAATAAACAACAGAACTATTATCTTTTCTTACAACACCTATGAACTACACTGTGAAATCAAGAGTGAAATATCCACAAATATTTTAGTTTAAAGTTATGTTTCATCCTATATTCTACTTTAGTCTATGCTAACTTTATTTTTTATAGTTTGTCACGTTTTTGCAATTCCCTTATCCAAGTGACAATACCTTAACATGAAACATTTTTTTCCTAACAAACAAAAAAAAAACACACTCCAAACTGGTAGTTTTAACACAATATTATTATTATCTATCAGCTTCTCCTCGCAACTTCAAATAATGTTTAACTGGATATGTACATGTCTTGTAAAGTCAAAGGTATCTTTTTAAAGTAGAAAAATAATCATGTTATGTGTAAAGTTCAAAAAATGCATAAACACAATTATGCAATATCCTATGTACACAGATATGATTCTAAATCAGAAAATCATATCACAAAAGAGTGAGCAGTGATAACTTGGTCCATCAGTGGTCAAATGATGAAAAACAATACCTATTAGATTGCAATAATAAAGTATTTGTATATAATGAATTAAAACACCCTCCAGGGGTTATGGCTAGAAAGTCAAAAGTGACTGGTTTTGAGGAAGCTGAATAATTCACGACTTCTCATAAGTCACATTCACCTTCTCCACATACAAATTTCATACAAAAGTAGTAAATGTCATAACGTTTATTTGTATTCAGAATTTTTACGATTCATATATAAGACACACTACAAGCAACCAGACTCAAAAATCACTTAGCCACAGACTTGATTTTTGGAAGTCCTAAAGAACTGCAAGATCAACTTTAAATCTGAGTCAGTTGGTCCACTCACATTCATATCATTGCTACGTGTGCTAGCAAGTGTATCCATAACATAATGAAACTATTTTAGAAACATATTTATTTTATGTGATATGAAAGAGGTAACAACACATTGTTTTTTATTTTGAGGTTTATATAAATAAGCTATTAATCATCTTCCTTAGCATTTTGACAGGAAAGTGAGTTGCAAAATCTGAACAGTGAATTGTAATTTTTCCATTTTTGGAAAATTATGAGAAAAAAACAAAATTCATAGTTACTTTCCATTAAACTACTTCATAAAAAACACATTATGCTTACATAGATACAAGAATAGTTGGACCATGTACATGCATAAAAAAATGAATAAGTCACAAATCTTCACTCATAAAGAATTTTTTTTATAGAAAGTAATAAGAGAGATTAACATGATGCAACAACTCATGCTGAATTATCCTATAATATCCTTCAGTCTCCTTACATAACTTAGAAACAAGTTGACTGCTAACATGAAGATAACTGATGTAAAAAACAATGTCAAAATCAGATACAAAAGAATACCTTCTTGCATGAGAGAGTCAATTACCTTTACAGTGCAGACAACAATATCTTCAACATACATATCTTTGTGTATGTGTGTTATATTTAGATAAGCGACTGCATAGATTCTCTTAAAATCTCTGGCTAGAAATGCTTTAAAATACACACACACACACACACACACACACACATACATATATATACATAAAATAACTATGTGATACAAGTGGAAATATTCCTAAGAGAAACTTGTACAAATAGTGTAAGGCAATGGACAGCTTCAGAATCAGTTATCAATTTTATATATATATCTTGTCTTCTAGAATAAACAGTTCATGACATCTTGAATATCAGCTTAGTTATCTAAATGTTCAAATTTTTGCCATATCTTTACCTCTGTCCTCTTTTCTAATATTGCTTCAAGGAAAAAAGAAGATTCATTCATATCTCTTCTTAGTCAGACCACTAAGCTCTGAAATGTCCTCAGACCTCAAGATTAGTATATTAGTAGTATGTTAGAAGCTGTCAATAGTTTTATAGAATACAGGTTAGGTTACTTATTTTAACCTGTTCACTTTACTCGCCACCATAAACTAAAAACAAAAGCAGAGAAGATGCACACTTGACTACTAATGCCCAGTCAACTTTGGCATTAAAAAGTTAAATGATAAATGAAACATGATAAACCAGTGGCATATGAAGCTTCTGGTCACAAAGAGAGAAAGTTACTAAAGACATAGTATGAATTCCAGGTCATGATTTATGTCACAAATAAAGCAAGGATTATGCTTTGCAGTCAAACTTTAAGATTCTACTGAAGAAACTCCATGTGATCAGTGGAAAGAGCTTCTTCTCCCACATGGTGAGAAGACAGAAAAGGATCATCATTCACAGGAAGCATATGATCATCCATCATCATGTCATTATAATGTCCAAGAGGATTACTAGGGCTTGCACTGTGGGCTGAGCTCAGCCCAGAACTGGGGCTGGGAGCAGGACTTACATGTGGTTCCTGATTTACATTCAGTCCTAACAAGTCCAAGTCTATTGTGGATACATGCATGTTTCCATTAATATAAGTGTTGCTTGTACCAGGATTGTTCAAAAGCATATTTGGTGGGATAGGCTCTTGCTTAATGAGGGAGTTGAGATCAGTTTCTTGTGATGACTGCCAAACGGTATCTGTAACTTGAATGCCATGAGAACGAAGCTGGATCTTCAATTCCTTTGGAGTAAAGAACAAACAAATGAGATCTGGAAAACTTAATGACTGTAAATGAGCACAACAATATAAACAATGTCCAAAAGTTAGCATTTTCCTGCACTGAAAATGTATTTCTGATAGGTACTTACCTCCTCTCACAAAATAGCTTTTCTGAACTAGCACTGCCCTCTACTGTCACCAATTTTCAATGCATACCACTAGCCTTCCACCTCCAACTTCTGCATATCCACATACAGCATGATCCAACTTCTATCGTAACCAGCACCCTTTTCACACCTGAACTCGTTAATCACTTCGAGACTGGTCAGAAGACCTACACCATATATCAGTGGAAGCGGGGAAGCTGGGTGGGAAATGTGAGATGAGGTATGTGTCTATTGGAAATACATTTTCAGCGTAGGAAGATGCTAACTTCTGGTATGATATTTTACCTCCGCTCACAAATAGCTAGAATCCCACATTTAACTGGTGGAGGGAGGATAAAAAAAATGATCTCAATTTAGAATGTGCCCAAGAGAAACCAGGAGGTGTGGAATTAAAAGAGAAAACATCACATCTGAGCGAGAAACTACATTACATCTGATCTAGGTATACTTTTTGCTCTTTTATAACTTTGTCGCAAACATAAGTGACAGAAAAATAAGAAGGAACCCCAAAACATGTATCACTGATGAATGGGACTCCTGGGTGTTGAGTGGCTAGGGTGTGACAGACTATAGTGGTAGTTCAACTTCATCCAACACCATGCAGAAGGTCACCTACCTCTTCACCTCAAAATGGGAATCAGTAGGGAGGATGAGCTTTTGTACCAAAATCCATCTCCACTTGTGCACATTTCCAACACAACTAATACCAGATCTACTGGGAGCTGACATCCAGCAAATGGTAGGAAGGTGGAAAGCCCCAACAGGATGACATTTATGGTCCTAATTCTGATGACAATGGGTATGCTACTTCCAGTTTGTGGTAGGAGGTGGAATCTGGCCATACACAACCAAGAAAATATGTGCTGCATTCAGCTACAACAACACCAGATCTGCTGGAACCAACATCTAACAGATGGTAGGAAGAGATGGTAGCAGCTCTCCCCCAATTGGAGCACGACCCCATTCCTATTGTAACCAGCGCCCTTTTCACATCTACACTCGTTAATCACTTCGAGATTGGTCAGAAGACCTACACCATATATCACCTATGGTGCATCTCCAGTCCAAAACCTGACAGCAGTGGGCATTTATCATACAATCTGCAGTAGAAGGAGGGATACCAGCCAGCACATATACGAGGACTTACTTAGCTGGATTATCTCCAACCAACACCAGACCCACCAAAAATGCACATCTGGAGGATGGTAAGGAGGAAGAATCTCTCATTCTGCAATAATAGAGAGATAAATGTTTGTGACAGGGCAGAGGGCTTCAACCAAAACCTGCCAGCATCTGAAATTGTACATCTGGCCCACAGTAGGAAGGACATCACACCACTTACATATAATACTAATCATGACCAGGGCATCTCCAACCAAAACCAGACCCACCAGGAACATACAGCTGGAGGATGGTAGGAAAGAGAAATGCCACTGTATGAAAAAAACAATTGATCAGATATATAGACAGGAATATGGCACTGTGCTACAACCGAAACCTGGTGGCATCTGCAGCATGCCACCACTCTACTCTCAACTGAGTGGTATGATTTATCACTCAGGAGGACAGGCCTTTATGGTCCACCCCATCAGCAGCTAGGAACTGGTAAGTGGTAAGGACTCCCATACTCCACTAGAAGAAAGGGAGAAAAAAACATGTTGGAGAGTCCAGAGGACTGCATCGCTGGAGACAGTGTAATGAGTAACCCCAAAACCCTATTTTAAAAAATAAAGGTACCACGTCGATGGAGCCGATAAATCAAAACCTGGCATCATCTGGAATTGTACATCAGGTAGGTCCGTGGTAGAAAAAGAGTCTCAACGCCATGGAGCATCAGAAATGGACAGCAATCTCTGTCTGCTTTACTCATGTTAGTCCATGAATGTATGGTCTAGGACAAATATATTTATGAAGCAAAAAACTACTAGTAGTCCTATGGAACACCCCATCTCTATGGTGTGCATAACCCAAAACTGCAATGTAATAGTTTAGTCAAACATAACAATAAAACGGAGATACACAACCAAAGTTTGGCAGTATCTGGAATTGTACATCATGTCCATAGTAGGAAGGGCTACAACATAATTAACAACAAACATGGTCACAAGATGGACAGTGTGAAAAAAAGTATACCTGGCCACTAGCAAAAAAGGCCCCTGAAAAAGTAAAAAAACGTTTGAAAAAAAATAAACTTTTCACAATATCAAAATGCAAAAATTTAAATAAATAGTTAAAAAAAACGTCAATAATATAATAAAAAATGTAGACAAATAAATGAGGAAAAACCAGTACATCTGTACAGTACTACTGCCAATCGAGAAGTGATTAACGATGTCAGATGTGAAGAGGGTGCTGGTTATGATAGCAGTGGTGTCACATTCCTATTGGTGGAGAGCTATTGCATGATCATTTGCACATGGATATCCAGAAGCGGTTGGTGAAAGGCTAGTGGTATGCATTGAGCATTTGCACCAACAGAGGGTAGTGCTGGTCAAGAAAAGCTATTTTGTGAGGTGAAGTAAGATATATTATCGGAAATTTTATTTCAGGAAACAATACTGTCACACTTGTCTTCCAGTTAAAGCATATATATATATATATATTTGTTTCAAGTTATGTTAATTTTTTCAAACAACTTCATTTTTATGCATGATTTTCAAATAATATAAAATAATATAAGTTTTCACAAATGCCTAATGATATCATTCAATTGATAAACAATGAAGATTAAGAATCAAATTCTGCATAAAAATGTGGTACTTGGGTGTGCACAAACAAGAAATTTTAAAAACTTTTTATCTTCTAAATCTAAACAAATTATTTTTTTTGCAAAAAATTTAATATTTTAGTTTGATCTAGTCTATTCTTTAGCATTTCTTGTGCTACATATGGTGCTTCTCATTCTGACTACAGTAGTAAACTTTCTATAAAACCAGTCTATGTTTGAAAACTGTTATTGTTATATCAGTTTTATTCTAAATTTTGTTGAAAGCAATCTTAAGTGTCAATCAAGTGTAGATATAAAACATCTGTATTTCTAGAGCTGTTTTGGATACATCTAGGGCAAGAAGAAAGCCCAATGATGACACATTCAGTGACTTAACAGAAATGTTTCACAATAAAAATCACTTTAAAAAGTATACATGTTGATGTTCCTGTTTTTACAAAGACAGATTTTGTGATACATTTATATTTAAGAGCATTTTATTATATATCATTTTGAAAAAAAAAGTATATCAGCATATTACTCTGGCAGTTTTAGTGGTTTGTCTTGACATTTTAAGCTATGTTTCTTAATCTGTTGTTAATCACCAAATTTGTCAAATATTTCTTGCACTGAAATTAGTTTTTTTTTCAAATGAATTTTTGCAATACAAAATTGCTTACATTCAAATGAACAAATTTATGTTATGAAAGATTATCTATAATTTTTTTCAATATATAAAATGGGAGCTATTTTAACTCATATTCTTATATATGGCTTTGTTTATTTTTACATTTTACATACTTAGAATTAAACTAAATTTTCAACAAGCACTGGAGTACTAAAAGCCTTTCCATACTAAGTTTTAACTCATGTGTCACTTACCTATAACTTTCCACTCTACCACCATCTACACGAGTATCAGGAATCTTACCAAAGATCTGTTTTCCAACAATAATATATATTTTTTGAAAGTTGCAGTTATGATAAAATTTTGGCTATGGAAATGGGAGCGAAGGTACTTCAGAGGTAAATAATAATTTAACATTCATTTGAAATATAAAAATGTAACATTCAAAACAGGTAGACTGAAAGCCAAAATACCACATTCTATAAGGAGGTAGGAATCAACAAACATGAAAAGAAATTGAAAATATAAAACAGCAAGATACATGGATGGAAGATAATAATCTAGACTAGAAGAAAATGTAGCCAAGCAAAGTCTGAGCAGAATCCAGAACCAGAATTGGATTCAAAGGAAAATGAGTGGGGTGGACCAGCCTTATAATAAGACTGCACCTAAGGGCACTCAGAAAGAAGGCATTCTTCTCAGAAGGGTAACTCTTTACTCATGATGCCCTCTAACTTAAGCAAAGGGATTGTTTTTTGTGAATGGTAATAGTGTATTGAACTTGTAGAGCCAAAAATATTACATAGGTGTTGGAATTAGCTGTTCCTGCAGTGGAAGGTCCACAGGAGAGCAGTCCAGACATGTATTATGAAAAAACATACTCCTGAGGTAATAGCTCCTTTTAATCCATATCAAAAATGGTTGGCCAAATTAGTGGGCACTCATGGAAAATCGAATAAAGACCCAAGATGCCCTCAAGGATCGGCTCAAAAGCATGAAGACACTGCAAAGGGAATATCAAAACAAAGAAAGAAAGAAAACAGAATAAAAAAACATACATGATCCTCATCTTGATTGGAATTGAGACATATAGTGATAATTTTTCTAATATCTCTAATTGCACACAAGGAAATGCATGTGCAGGTAGGAAAGGTACCCACAGATGGCACCCTCTGTCCACTTCCAAAAGACAACACCTTCTCACAGAGCATCAGTATAAGTGATGAAATTTTGTCAACGACAAATGAATAGATAGGTGCGACATGCAAAAGTCCCCACTAGATAAATCCATACTCTGAGTCTCACTGAAGGAGAGACCATGGTTTATTTTATATATATATATATATATATTTGATATATACAATACATAAACCAAATAATTTCTCAATCTCAGACATGCCTAGATTTTTGAATAGGAGTGTTGAGCAATATATAAATACTTAGGTTGCCTAGGATAAATACAGAGGTTAAAGAACTGCAAGAGTCCTAACAGGATGAACTGATATAAATACAGATTCTTAATACATAAGAAAAGAATATGCTTAATTACAGTAGCTTTCTTGTTTCAAAGTCAAAATAATTCACAATTCCAGACACTCTGCATAATTAACAAGGTCCGTTGGGCAGGATATACAACAATTCACAACAAAAAGATTGTATTGAGCATAAAGAATAACCACAGGCAGTAAACAAGATCTTTAAACTGAAGATGCATGATGTGATGAGGGTAAAATAGCAAAATATATGGCCACCTCTGAGATGTAACTAAAGAAAGGGTACAGAGAACAGAAGGCCAAAAGCATCACTAAATGGTGAATGTAATGAGATGTAAGCTGAAATTCACACTTAAAGTTGTCAGGAACATCATGATAAACACGATAGATCAGTTGCACAAATCATTCATGAATATGGATGGCGCAAGATCCGTGGAATGAGAATCATATAAGATAATCACAATCAATGCTGGTTTCCTTGAAAAATTGGAACAAACATCCCTGATCAGACATAGAACACATCCATCAGAAGTAAAATCATGGTCAGTCAGAATGGGTAACACAATAGGAGAGAAACAGCAGTGACCATCTCTTGCAGCCCAATTCTCTGGTAAGAAGACTCTATCAAGATATAAGTACACAGTCTTCTTGGAAAAAAGAAAAAGAGTACGAGAAACATCAATGGCAAAAAAAGTCTGAACATCTCCTCCCTGGAGTTAAAAGGAAAATACATCTTCAAAGATGGTAGAGTAAATAAGTAGCATATGGTTTGAATGTAGAAGACAGAGTTAAATCCCACTGAGGACAATGTAAAAAATACAAAAATGAAAAACAATTGGGTTGAAAATGGCATGTGACTTCTGTGGCAACTGAAAGTGGCTGAAAGTGCAGCTCTTTAGCCTGCAATAGAAGCAGATAAGGACTGATCATGAAAGAAGTACAGAAAAAATCAAGCTGTTAACGAGTTGGAGAAACCTAATTCCACATGCAGAAATTCTGAAAGATAGCCCAATGAAGTTGGTCTACTGCCAAGGGAAAACATCTGTAAGATCATGAAAACATTCAAACTACCCAAGAAAAGGAACCAGCTTCACAAACAAAGGACTGCATAACAGCTAGCTGTGAAATGTAGATGGCAAACACTGTTGTGAAAGATGTACTAAAAAATAATAGAATAAAATCCCTCTGAGATAGGTGAAAGAAGTGGAAACCATGGTGGAGCAGGCCAGTAAGGTGCAACAAGAACTAGACAATGGTACCAACTGATCTTGTGCAATACTTCAGAAGAAGAAAAAAACAGAAGAGGTACAGAGAAAAAAAAAAATCTCAAGATCGGTTTGAAATATCCACTGGACCTGAAACTGGAAACCAGTATAGAATCTGAAGATGATGCGTTACTGTAACAAATGCATCAAGCAAAGGATAACTAAAGGATTGGCATAACCAAACCAATGAAATACCATCTTGGAGAAATACATTATGTGAATGTATCCAAAAGAAATAAACTACAGCAAACAAATGGTGTGAGATTGAGTTTCATTCTGTCTGTTGATATATATGTCACCACAATCGAAGTGTCTGCGAGTAGCGATAAAAGGGCAAAAACTCCTGACATTCATGTGGAACAGCCTAAACCTCTAACAGAATAAGAAAGGATATATTTGGTCAAAGGAGACGGGTAAAGTTCTTGGGAGAGTATTAATACAAAATCTCAGATAAATTAGACATTGAGTAGGCACAAGATGAGACTTGGACTAATGAGCAATCCATCCTAGAAAAGATGAGAAACCAATTTAGTGTGAAGCAATCACTGAGTGAGCATCCTCTTATCATCCATGTAATAATGGCAATAAATACTATGTGCAGAAGACAACCTAATGGTTTGACTACATGTATGAAGACATAGAATGCCAAATCCAGACCAAAAATGAAGGCACATGAAGAGAGAAACAGAAATGACAACAGCAGAAGTGTCATCAGGATTATGGCTACCACCGTAGCAAACAAATCTAGCTCTGCAAACTCTGAAAGCAATTAGGCCAGAGTAAAAGAACAACCTTCAACAAAAGCAAAAGAAAATGGAATGTGTTACACAAACTAAGCATCCATACAATAATTATACCCACCAGTAATATCAGTATACAATAAAACTAATACACTGAATCATCAGAGCTGACATTACAGCTACAATTTTATCCTGTAAAGTACAGGAAGTTATGAAAATTCAAATAGTGGCAGAAATAACTTTTACATCAGAAAGAATGTCATAGAAAAGTTAACAGCATAACTGTCAACAAGAAAATATAATTTATGGCAGGAAAGCAGAGTTTATGCAAGATCCACTGGATGGTGGGAGAGTGGAGAATTATGGATAAGTGACACATAGTGTACAATGCATAAAGGAAATTTGGAAATTTTTAGTCACGTGCTTTATTGACAGCATAAGTTCACACTCAACAAGGAAAGACTTTCAATATTTCAGAAGTTAATCTACCTTATTTCAAAACCAAATTCATATTGACTTGCAAAACCTCTGAAAAATTATTATCATCTCCATAAAAGATAAAAATGCAACTCTTACAAATGTATGTCCCTATCTTAACCAATATAACTATTTTTGTGTAGAACACAGCATAAAATAAGGTTATGGTCCACCGAAAAAAGTCACATAAAGTTTGTTAACACATGTACACATATAAAAACTGATGTATAGTACCCCTTACAAAGTTTCACAAAATTGTCAACTCATAAGAACCCATGTTATTAATGAAATGTCATTTGATGCAACCTTTGCATACTAGTACTATCAGGTATTGTACCTTCAAATAATAGCCAGTTGGTAAAAGATCAGCAGTGAGACAAATACTTCTGAGTCTCAAAATGTAAGAATAACATAACAGAAAGCAGAACCCAAGTTACTTCTGTCAAAATCAGCTTACATGCTTTCATATTAACACTAACCTTTGCGGTGATGTAGCATACCTACCAAATCACCTGTTAATCACTTGAATTCTGTTTTACGAACTATATCATATAATATTTTACAAAGATGCAAGCCTCATCTTTTTTATAATCAACAACTTATTTTAGTGCTTCCATGTAAACTTATCAGAAATATGTAACATCTCACATAATACTTAAAGAAATAGCAATTAAATGACTATGAGCTTCTGAGAGTTGGGAAACACATTTAAATTGAGACAAACAGAAAAAAAGAATTAAAAATTCATTTTCCACAGAAACATCTATCCTCAAGAAACCAACCTGAATCCTAAGAAGTAACTTTCTGTTCTGGTGCTCTAACTGTTTCTGTCGTTCTTCCATGCGAGGTATTTTACTGACTTCTTTCTTCAAGCATCGCACATAGTCCACTGAGGCCTTAAGAATTGTGCCCTTATTTTGTCGGAGGTCACGAACCAGATCAAAATGGCTGCAACAGAGTTTTCTAGATTTAAGATGTCCAATTGTGCTAGTAGGTGAAAACATAACAAAGATGTACAAATAACATGATCAACAAAACAAAATAACTATATTTTTTAGTAATTGGGCTGTTTGAATAAAACAAGCTCAGTTTTCAATGGTTCTATTAGAGCTTTTGATTTTATTAAGGTGGGGTAATTTTAATTAGTTTGAACACAATAATATCTCTCCAAAGTGATAAATACTAAAACATAACCATAATTTAATATTTCAATGGACAGTGCTAATTCAAATGAAAGGCAGAAATGAGATATTAATGTGCTATGTAAATACTATAAAAATGCACACTGCCAAATTGATACTTACAAACAAAAGAACTACAAAATATAAAACATGATTTACTGAGTATTGTGAACTGTACGCAATATGATGTTTATTCAAACTTTGGTCATAATAACATAGGATTATGCAAGACAAATGCACTGTTAAGGCATATTTCTAATCCTCACCTTTACCAAGACTTTCTAAGGCAGTCATGCATCAAGGTATTTTGTAAGTCATCCCACTCTTACCATGACTTTTTAAGACAATCATGCGCTAAGGTCTTTTTTTGAATTCAACCCTTACCATGACTTTCTAAGGTAGTCATGCACCAAAGTATTTGTAATTCCTATCCTTAACATGATTTTCTAAGATATACTTGTGTTTACTTTTGTTACAATAATTAGTTGGGATGTCATTAGAGCTTGAGTTGAGGGAGAGCAAACCGGAGAGCAGCTCCTGTTGTAAGAAAGTGTTGCAAAAATACTTCTGTTGTTTAGAAATTTTTATGAAAACATTGCTGTTATTGAATGTTCAAGGACATATGTAAATTTAAAGAAATACTATCACAATTTTACCAATTCATATTGTTTATGCAGGCCTACTTTATTATAGGCCTACTTTGCAACATGTCATTCTTCTTCATTTGAGTTACTTTTCTATGTCAACATACATTGTGATGTCATCAAATAATTAAAATAAGAGACTTTGGCAGCTTCCAGACCCCCGCTGCCTAATAGGGGCTGTGAAACTGAGCTCCACTTCATAGCTTTACACTGAAGCCCTGGATGTCATTATCCTTGCAAGAATGTATTGAGGTGATTCTGATGTGATATGGTGTAATGAGATCAACAATGCACATTCTAAGAAGCTGTAAGGACAGAATTTAGAAAAGTCATGGTGGTACACAATTTTTGTATCACCTGTATTACACTCATAATAAATGAAAACTGTTAATTACTTATACACTATATTAGTGATCTAAAATATTGCTAAGTGCATTAGTAACTTCAACAGCATACTATTTTTGGCAAAATATAATTTCACAATTATGTATACTTTTATCTTAAAATTTAAAAAAGGTTAAAATGTTTCTAAGGAGATACTTGCTATGTTTTTACAGTTATTTGGTCAAAATGTAGACTCTTTTATTTTCATTCCACTTTAACATATTTAAAAATTGTTATCAGGCTATAGCTCCAATTAGTTGTTGTTTGTTAATTTCTGTTAAGTAGAGCTTATTCAGTGGATTTAGTTTGGTTTACAAAAAATGTTTAACATTTTCTAACTTTTCACAAGTCCTTTACTAGAAATATAGAAATAATAAATTGATATATTAGAAAAAAATAAACTCTTAAAATAATTTTCAAGACAAAAATCAGTAACAAAAATACTTTACTGAAGACCATACTACGAGGGTGATTACAAAGTGTTTCCGAAAATTGAAATTTCTTCTTTTTTGTTGGAACTGTTATTTTTCGATATATATATATATATATATTCTTAGGAAAAACTTAAATTTGGATGTCACAACAAACCACTGATCTATAGATCGCTAATGGTAAGCAAGAACAACTGCAAATTTAAACACACAGAAACCAAACTTTCCTTGTAAGTATGGTTTTCAGAGTACGGATTTGGTCTATTGTAGTTTGTTGCCTTATGAATAACAACATTTCAAGCTTTCTTCAATATTTTTTTCAGGAATTTCATTGGCATAAACATGACATTTATTACAGCATGCTTTGCTTTATTTGCATGAAAAGTTCTGCATTTATAAAAGAACATTGAAGGAGCTAAAGATACAAAATAAAAGTCAACTAACATGTGTACACACACACACAACTTTCTTAATCACCATGTTGTTCTTATTTGAGTGTGTCAAGTTACAAGGTGACAATAGAACATTTGTCTGTTTTCTTTGGTTATATATTTTAAAACTGGTAAAAGCCAAACTGTCTGTTGATTTATTTACTAGAAAGGCTTCCTCAGATAAAAAAAAATATATAGAATATTTCTCTATCTGTACTCTATCCAAAAATAATGTGCTTATGCCATCTTCTTACAGGCTAGTCTAGAAAGAAAAACATACATCAGAGCAATTTGCTAAAAACAATCAATTTAATTGCTCAATAACAATTTAAGTCGAGCACCAACATAATGAAACTGCATTAAATAAATAAATATCTAAATCCTTCATTACTGCATGGGATTTCACTAATACTTAAATCCCAATTTTAGGCCAAAATTCTATTATTGAAGCAACTCAGACCACAAAATTAGGGTATTATTACATGTATGGACTTAAAGTCCAAGGAAATAAACCATATAAACCTTTGTATTACTAATGTGAAATCAACCAATTGTTGAAGCTACAATAAATAAAACCTACACAATTATAGATTTATGAATGAACATTATAAACTTTGTGATTTGGTTCCATTTTGTCTTGATGTATTTTACAACTTATCTAACAGAATATAAATAACTCAGTGAAATGTATCTAAAATACAATTACTATTGATAACTTTGGTTCTAAGTTTTATTGCTTTTTTTACTATTAGCTTTCCAAAGAACATAAACAATTGTTCTGATTACTTTGATGTAGGTCTAGAAATGTGTGTAACATACATTAGATGAAATTGAACAGGCAAGTGCATACACTAGGGCTTCTTATCTCCTAAAGATCTCTCCTTGAGAGCAAGTTAGCATGAAAAAGACATAACATATCCATTTGCAAGTGAAAAAATAAGACTACTTAATCATGTTACCAATCATTTTTTAAATGGTTTAACCTAATGAAGGTGATAAGCACATTTTCTTAAAATGCTAGTTCAAACCAAGTACCTTTTTTTCTCAACTGTGATTGAGTGTTGTTACACAAAGACAATGAGAAATAAACAGACACTTCTAATATGCCTGCCTGGGGACACATAGCTTAAACTTTCAGAAAGTGACAGACACTGATTAATGATCCTTCAATTAAGCTCAATTTTCATGTTTGTTTTTTTGTTGTTTAAATACATATATCATGTAAAAATGTAGATATCCATGAGAAAGTTTCAAAAAATGTTTGGTATTGTGCTCAAATTAAGATAAGCTTGACAACTCATGCAAAAAGTAAAATTACATTCCAGTATTTTGCTACAAGGTTACAAGCTTCACAAAATGTTTTCAGGAGATATATTTTTCTTACAGCCCAAAAATCATGTGAGAAGTTTTATACTTAGTATAACAGAGACATCCCTGCAACTATATAAGTCAAATTTTCCTGAGAACACTTTGATTCAATGTAAACTGACATTATGAGGATGATACTTTTATCCAGATACAATGTTAGTCATTACTGAAGCTAAAAATAATTTTTAATACTAAAATTAAGATAATGCAATTGTTATGTTTCAATACTGTCCATCAGCTTTTCAACTCAAGATTGATTACTCACGGGTCATTGTTCTTAGGTAGGAGAGTTCCTAGCTCTTTGATCCGGTCATTGATGTTGAACCTCCGTCGTCTTTCAACTATTCAACCAAAGATATTGTCAAGGGATATAAAACATGCAGGAGAAATAACAACTAAGAAATTTTTCTTTTTTCAAACATACAGAAGAAATATAGAATAAAGTAACTGTCATATTTCTGAGTGCTACAACACTCAAACTTCAAGATGTATGATGGTCCCACTACATAAGTATGACAAGTGACACATAAGAAATAAATTGCAGCATTTATCAAATCTTTTCACAAGGTGGTATCACCACTGCATAAATTGCATATTACTTAGAAAGTTTTATTTAATAAAAATTACATATCTACAAAATAGTAACTCTCAGAAGTTAAAGTTTGGAATATGTAGTGCTATATTTACATTTGCCAGTTTGACTAAATCAGTCATGTGGTGAAGCAGAAGACTATTATTGTAAGATTTCTTACAGAAGAACAATTTTATATTTAAAATAAGTTTTCATTTAGAAGGCTAGGAAATATCTCATTAAAAATAAACTCTTCATTGGGGTTGAAAACAACTAATGTTTTTAATCATGTATCTCTGCCTAAAACTTGAAAATTGTAACGGTCAGAAAAAGAAACAAATGAATACATAAAGAAAAAATTATGGTCCATTTTTTTCATAAAATACTAATTGGGACATAACTTGGTCCATGAAACATTAGTTGATGACACGGTAATCAAATCTAAGAGATAGCAAGCTATTGATTTAAGTTTTAACAATGTCAACAACATACAAATTTTTAAAACTTTAGAATTATCAATGTATTGCTGTAATTATATATCCTCTATAGTAAAATAATGTATGCATATTTAAATTGTTAATATTGTAGATGTCAGTAATATTGGATATAACAGTACTTATGTTACTTAATCAAAGTATTTTTTTATTGTTAAATAAATACATGGTTGTTTTATTGTGTAGCAACTGGTTTGACTTGCATGCAGATTACAGTATTTACGATACCATAAAGTATCATTGTAGACAGTATAAAAAATATACCATCTGTTGGTTATTTTTACAAGTACTAATAACATTACAAGATAATTTTTCTTTATTTTGTATCATAAGAGAGAATCTGTGCATGACAGATATAGTACATACACAACTGAGATATTTATTACATTATTATCCATATTTTTTATTATTTACACCATTGAAATGACAAATATAAAACTTAATAAATGTGCTTACTCATGTTGTGATTGTCCTTCTTCTGTCTTTCTTTTGCTAATGCCTGAATTTGATCATCAGAAAGGGACAATGGTTCTTCTTTAACACTAGCTAGGTCAGATGAGCATGATGCTGGTGATTTAGCTTGTCCCACAGAAAACAAATCTAGTAAACTTTCAGCTCCAGTCATCTAAAGAATTAAACAAGCATTAACTAATATTAGTTACTATTTAACACTGTTAGGTTTCTATAATTCATATACATATTAAAGAAACGAAAAAAAGATGTCTTATACAAAAAGCTTTCTAAATTTTCAACATGCTTAAACACACACTGATTCATCAGTTTACTAGGGCCTTCACTTATTATTGACTTGGACCACACTTTGTCACAGGTACTAATCATGATATGACCACATTTCTGAATTTTCATGATTCAAGAAACTATCTGACACACCATATGTTCAATCTATTTTTCATATGAAAATAGATTGAGTTTTTTTTTACAAATTGTGTGTTCAAATCCTATTAAAGTGGTTAATTTACACACAAAGACACAAACATGTTAATATCATAATATTATTTACTTCTAAAGAAAGTAGATAATAATATCAAAAAAGATCACAAATTTTTGATGAATATAAAACTCAAACACATACTGCAAAAACTAAGTGTATTCCCACTATGATGTTGATCAAAGTTCTGCAAATTGCTCTCTACAACTTGAAGTTTGATACATTATTGTATATTACTTTGTTATTTTAACTGAGGCTAATACTAAAGTAAAAAACATATAATACTTTGATGCCATAAAATAATAATCATTGTATTAAAGTACAAACAAATGCTCCAAAAAAACTATTTAATATGATTTTTAAAATGAAACCCTCACCTAAGCAAACTATAAGATCTTATATGTTTTGGGTCTCAACTACTCCAAAAATAGGTATAATTAATGTGAATTGAATTATCAAAAATTTAACATTAAAGAGAAGTTTGATATTTTTGTTTTTATAATTTACCAATTAATAGACAAGCAAAATCTTATTGTTTATGATCTAACAATTAATTCTTAGACCAAAGTTATACTGACCAATAAACTATCACAATTTCTAACAATAGATACATCAGTATAACCAAGAAATAGTATAATTTTATCTTATTAAACAGATGTTTGTAGTAACTAATGTAGGATATAGAACAGCAAATATATCTTTTTATATAACAAATTTTAATTTTACTACATTGCATTTAGACTGTGATTTGTAAAATCTAATACTGTATATTATTTCACAGTATATCCTTTAAATATACATATATAATCAGTATTTATTAATGCAACTTTATTAATCTGTGATAGTGATAAAAACTGAGCAATAATGCATAATAAAATTCAACATAAAGTTTTATGGCATTTATTCATATGTTTCTGTTAAGATAAAAAATGTAGTAAAATCAGAAACTGTTAAATAAAAGACACAGTAAATCTTGCAGTTAACAATAATAGTGCTGATCATTTGCTCATTATACTGCCACCTATATTTTAATCCCTGTCCTAAAGGTGACACATATCAGGCAGCAAAGATATTAACACACAATTCACATCCCTATTAATAGTTAGACACTAACCATTGATGGCAGATTGAGAGATGGCTTTAATTCAATAAAGTTGAGATCACCTCCTACACCTTCAGCTCCTAAATTACTAAAATCATCCCAGAATTCATCCAGCTAGAAGAAAATAATATATACATATATGCATATAAACAATGAACAGATTACTCATCCTTCAGTTGAAAAATAAGAACAAGATACAACACATTCAAGAAAATATTTCACTTTAACTGCATGTAAGTATATACAGTTTTTACACAGAAGACCATTAGAAGACTTACATTACAATTTGATATAAATTTACAATGCCTTTGTAATTTTAGTGTAAAGTTTTCCCTTTTTACACATTTAATAAGTTAAATTAAAGCCTCTCAGAAACCTAATATGTTATGGAGGCTATTGACATTTTTCATATCCAATTTGCTTCATTGAATTACCAAAATAACTAACATTTTAAAGATATAATTAGCAGTAACAAAATTTTTTTTCTGTTTGACCAGATAAAGCAATCTTCACTGTAAAAGGGTTCACAAGAAACAAATATAAAATTTTAGGCTAAGCAATCCAGTATATTGCTTACTGAAAATAGTGGCATTTTTTTATTAGGAAATTCATCTGAGTGGAATAAAACTTTCTAATCACATTTCAACATAATATTTTTCAAATATATTTAGTGTTAATTTTACAATATATGAAAATATCTAGCTTGCTTTTAAAATATGTTAGTACTAGAGTATCTAAACAGCTACTTTCAGCAGATTTACACTTATTGAATTTATACGTGTCAAGTCAGTTCAAATTATATACAATCAGACAGAAACATAACAATAATATCATTCTTAGGTATATAAAGGAGGAAATATAGTACAGTAAATGATAACAGTTTCTGCTTTATTATTATTCTATTTTTAACAATGATTTGGTATCAGCCATAAACAGAATCTTAAATTACCAATTTTTTCGTTTGTTTTCTTTAGGTACTGAAAGTACATAGTACTACGATATATTTGTTTTCAAGCTATATTACCATATACTTTTTCTTCAGGAATTGGGTGATTCATTCCTGAGAAGGAATATATATATTTACATTTATTTTGCTATCCTTGAATACATAAAATAGAGAAGATCCAATGAATTATTGTCAGATTTCTAAATAGTGAACTGGAAAAAAAAGAAGGTTGGTTGCTTTAACCAATAATCACTAATGGAGAGTCTCACTAGAGCAGTGCAATATAAAACTTCATATTACTGTAACATGCCTATCCAGTTCTATCTCTAGGTGCCAAAAGACCTCTCTGTGTCAGGCTGACAACTTGATGAAATAGGTCTGGTACAAGAAATGCTATAAGTCTGCTAGTTAGGCCTATCCAGTTATTACACCACCTTTCTTGACACTCACCAGGCCAAGAAACATGAGAAAAGTCTACCCTGTACCATACCAGTAACTAGATATCATGACCCCCAAGGCTGCTCTAGGGACCAGCATTTTATTTACTACTCTATCTAAATGTTTACATAGTTGCAGAACTATCTGAAATCAAGGTCATATTCTCCATGTTTTTTTTCCTTGTTGTTGTTGTTGTTGTTTTTTAAATGAAGCTCAGAAACTAAAAGGATGAGTGAAAGAGGATTAATCAATTTATATCTTATTCTTAAAACTTCTTTTGATACTACTGTTTCTTCAACCAGTCTACTATAACAGCCATACAACCATATTGTGGCAAATACATAAAATTGAAAACCAGTCTACTATAACAGCCATACAACCATATTGTGGCAAATACATAAAATTGAAAAAATTTGCTAAAGACAGAAACATTTAAAACATGCTAGCATATTCTCAATAAGAAAAATATAATCAATATAAGAACAACTATCAAGAGCATTTTTAATGCAACAAAACCTTAATAATTTGTACCTCAGGCAATCAAAATTATTGACTTATTTAAATCAATCACTATGAAAACATTATTCAAAATATCTTAAACCAAACAATTTTAGACCAACTCAATTACTTTCAAACACCAGTTTTATGAATAATACTAATGTGAACCAAACACCAAATAAGAACACAAATAACACAAAAGTATTATGAATATTACTAATGTATAAACAAAACACCAAACAAGATATAGCTTACAAGGTTACATGATGTATTAGATTAAACTGTGACCCTCAAAAAGCAAAAATAATTAAAAAAAAAACATTTTTCATATCTTAACTTTAGTGATATAATTTCATTTATTACTTTATTTCTAAGCTAAATTTACCTTACCATAAAGAATTACCCCCCCCCCCCAAAAAAAAATTATCCACACAGTTTTAATTAAATCCTTAGTTCACTAACATAACACAGTAACTATCACAGTTGCTCAAGTGTTAAAATTGCTTATTATTTCAAAAGTCACTTTTATTAAAACCCTAGCATGGTTGGTACATAGTTATCATAGTCTTAAACTTTATGCCTCTACAATCTGTTCCATGAACATTCATTAGTTACCTGTTATAAAATGGTAACATAAGTGTCCCAAGTTTAAATCTTATCTCGTTTATCCACCAGGCTATTACTTCATTCCTTTCATTTTTAGATCCTGAGAATTTTGAAGGTGGATTTGTGACCAAGGTCAGTATCTTAATATATTTCACATATTTTTATACAGACTTAAAACATTTCAAGTATTTAATTTGAGATTATGGTAAAACAGAAATCATTTAAGCAACACTTCACAACTAATTATACTACTGAAATAAGTCAAACTGTATAACCATATTCAATTAAAAAAAAAAGAGCAGATTGTGTTTATGAAATACTTATGTCCCCATTTTGACCTTCAAACGTTAATCAGGTCTAGAACTTTGTAAGTAATACCCGTTGTATAACTTTGGTCAAAATCCATACATCCCACATCAATTTTGTGATATTATTACCACAAAATCTGGAAAGACCCGCGGTGGGGGGTGGGGCAAACAAATACGCCTTTCTCTGCTTCGCAGTGGGAGCATAACAGGTCAGACAAACAGAATTAAACAGGGATACAGAAGCTTCTCTGATGCACAACTAAAATGAACACATCTTTCATATATCTGTTAACATCGTTTCATCTGTCACGAATCAGAATTAAAGTAAAATAAGCAATAGTATAACTTATGCCACGACATGTTTAATTAGTTCAAAAGCATACTCCTTGAGGGCAACATTTTAGTTTAGTTAAGGAAAGAAGCTCGCTCCTTTAACGTATCGAACTGGCATGCTTCATTTAATAGCTTCTGGGATATTAAGTTTTGAAGCCGATAATACAAGTCACACGACATTTCAACTTCAAGATTTGCTTCCATGAGTTCATTCCCTTCGAGATACAACATCTGTGTAAATATAATACAAAGATAAACACTGGCGCATCAAAGAACTATGTGCAGGAAATTATCTAAGAAACCTAAACTTTCACTATTTGAATAGAGCATAACAAACTTGCCTTTTTGCCGCTGGGACTTGTACAATTTACTGTTGGAAGTTTCATTTTCCACTAATCCGATACACTGATACTCGATTCGAAAAAAATATTCCACACACTTAACAAGACAACTAAATGCACCTTAATTATGCGAAAAAGCCTGTGACAAGCAAATCGTTTTATAGTTAACTACCTTCCGTTATTCAAGCTAAAAAGGATGAAAACCTTACATTTGCTTATGCAATTGCACGGCTCAGTCGCCCAGTGGACGGTACAGCAGTAAGTGAAACCAGATCAAAGTACACTCTACTTGGAGTCTCGTACGTTTCCCTCCCCCACGCCCCTTATCTCCTACATCTTGACGACGCCTCCCTTAAAGTTGCAATGTTTAATATATAGATGTTTTAAACTTCAATACAGGTATTTATAACTGCAAATACATTCGAAAATCAATACAATTATGTTTGCTTATGCTTGTGGGCATGACATAATGACAAGGTACAAACAACCAAAATTTGTTTATATACAACTAAATACACCTCAAATTGGGCAATGACTAGTTAGAGCGCTAGGACTGTGAATCCAAGATTTCATGGTTCGCGACCTATTGCTGCAAAAATGCACTCAGCACTTTGAGCTGTGAGTTTGCTATAAAAGCGATGATAAAATCGTATCCGTCCGGGAAGTGAAAGTGGGTTTTTTCTCGGGGAAATTGGAAATTAATTATTTAAATCTAATTTGACTTAGAGTTAAAAGTTTCAACTCGAATTACTTGCCATGGTAAACTAAACTACCCTTCGGTCAGACAAGAGTTAACGGGGTTGGGAGAGGTGTCGTTAATCAGATGCCTTCCTTCTAGACTATCAGTTCAAAATCAGGGACGGGTATTCGCAGATAGCCCTTGCGCATCTGCACTGAAATTCTGCAACATATACATCTTACAACAGACAATGAAAACAATATTAATGTTGTAAGCTGTAAATAAAGGATAAAGAAAATCAAGACAAGATTTAGAAAGCTTTAATTAGCTTGTTACTTTCAAGGTCGTAAGTACTGTTGTCTTAGTCCCAACATATACAACCAGACAAAATCCCCAAATCAAAATGTATTCAGAAGTTATAATTCGATATCTAAAGATTAAATCTTTAGTGAGATCTTTATGAACTGACTGGAAATATTTTAGTTTCTAATATGAATAATCTCTGAAGTAACTAATCGCTATAGAATGCGACTTTCCTCAAATATATAATACAGGTTTTTCACGTTTTATTACTTAGAGAACTTCCTCAAAAGTGTATATTTGAAACGTCCTCCACAATAAATAAAACTGAGTACAATCATAACATAGAAGGTTAAGTATCACATGCAGGTTTATAGAAAAGAAAAGAGAAACATGATAAAAATCTCTTCAGCATAAAACCCTTTATTTCACTCAACATAATAGTAATTATACAGGAAAACTTGTGAATACCTTTATTGTATGTCTTTATAAGAACACTTTCCAACTCTAGGACAGACAGACAATTTCTTATAAATTCTGTCTTCAATCAGTTATAATCCAGATAACTTTTAATACGCAGAACTTGCCATTATTAAACCTTCAATGGCGCGAAAAGTCATCCAGATATATATATGAACTTCTTTAGTGTACAAATCCGCGTACAT